ACAACCATTATTCAGTGAAGGATTCCTGGTAGTGTAGTGGATTATAAACTGGGCTGCTCACCTCAAGGTCAGCAGTTTGAATCTAACAGTCGCTCCATGGGAGAAAAGAATTACAGGCTCAGAAACCCTAAACAGGGTCACTGTAAGTCAGAACCAACCCCACAGCACACCATCACCACTACTATTCAGTAGGTAGTAATTGAAAATATATTAGCCAAAGGAGTACTTAGGCTATGTCACTTCCGAGATGAAGAAAACAAGACCACAGACAATGCCAATAATGAGCTCTGTTTTGTACGTTCTGTGCCTCAGCTTCCAGCACAGTTCTGGACCATTAAAAATGTACAGTCAATATTTGTTTAATTAATAATAAGCAAAAGAGATTTGTCCTACTTACTTCAACAAACACAGACCTATATGCACAGGTAGACAGTGAAAAAGAATCAATTGATGGGAGACTGGTCCACTAAATGGGTGCTCTTGGTACCCCTCCAGTCTACTCCTCCCCTAGTATTCCACATCTCAGCAAATACCCTCTTACCTGCTTAACTAAAAATTCAAGAGAATCCAATTCATTGGATAAGCATATTGCCTTTGTCTTCAAAACAGACCTTGAGTCATTCTTTTGTCAATCTTGCCCTCTCCCCCATATTCTGTTATCTTCCTCTTGCTTACTTCCCCTGACACCCAGATCTACAGTCTGTTCCTCAGACACACCAAGCTCAGGTATCACCTCCTTGGATCAGAGCGACCCTCCCTAACTACCCTGGCCCCTTCCCTAGGCTTCCCACAAGATGTCTCCAGCCATTGTCTTTGTATAGCTCTCACCACTCTGATCTTTTCTGGGTAAAAGGGAGAGCCTTGCCTGTCTTGTCTAGACCCTTACTCCATTCTTCTGTATTTCTCATTTGCCTTTGAATCCACAACTCCTAGAGCAGTGACTGGTTCAAGGTAGATAACCAACAAGTAATTCTTTCATTGAATAATTAATTGTCTAATATTATCCTCATAATTGGTATCAATCCTTTTCACCCTTGACTTGACTGAGTTAGAAGAAATGACTTTGAAAGCTGTAATGTGCTGATCTTGTGGGAGTTACTGTTGGTATTATTATTAGCTAACCATAGCCACAGGAGCTCTGGTAGCATAGTGGTTACGAATCGGGCTGCGAACCTTAAGGCCAGCGGTTCGAAACTACCAGCCGCTCCACGGGAGAAAGATGAGGCTTTCTACTCCCATAAAATTTACAGACTTAGAAACCCTATACAGGGTCGCTATGGGTCGGAACCGACTTGACGGCACTTAACAACAACAACCATAGCCACAGGAGCTCTCGTAGCATAGTGGTTACAAATTGGGCTGCAAACCTAAGGTCAGCAGTTCGAAACTACCAGCTGTTCCGTGGGAGAAAGATGAGGCTTTCTGCTCCCATAAAGATTTACAGCCTTGGAAACTCTGTACAGGGTCACTATGAGTCAGAACCGACTCCATGGCAACTAACAACAACAACCATGGCCACAACAACACAGTCAACTCAATCCATTCTCATCTCCTTCCTGGGAATAGTCCTTCCATCCAGGCCCTTGTGATAGTGGAAGAGAGACAGCTGGGACTGAACTATGGAACAGACCCCCGAGTTTAATTGTTTAGCAGTCATTTATTGAGCCTTAACCAGGCATAAGCCTGGTGTTAAACACCAGGTCACAGTGACCATGTAATGGGAGAAATGCTATATTGGAGACCTGCCCAAATGCTATGGAACACAGAGGATAAGGGAGATTAGGGACACCAGATGTCTTCACACTTAATCTTCACAGTAGCACTTTGAAGCAGGTGTTAGTGTGTCCATTTTACAGAATATAAACAAACCTGGAGCTCAGAGAGGTTAAGTGTCTTGCCTAAACCAACTGACCAGTTATTCTTGAGTCATTTCTAACTTGTGGAGACCTCATGTGTATCAAAGTAGAACTATTCACTAAGGGGTTTCCAAATGGCTGATTTTCACGGGACCTTTCTTCTGAGACTTCCTCCTTTCGGTGGATGCCAACCTTCAAGTTTTCAATTAGCACTACCCAGTCTTACCCAAGGACACACAGTAAACCAGAGGCAGACCTGTAGACTCCTGAGCCCGGCCGTCTCAGCTACACCACATCCTTCTAGCAGAGTACAGACTCAAGTTTGGAAAGAAAGGAAGGACCTCATCCTTCCAATGATTAATCTGTTGTACTCAGCCCTGCGGGGTAGTTAACACCCAGAGACACTATATCTAATACAGGAAACTCACTCGGGGGATACAAGATGCTCTCTTGCTCCCCAACTAGAGATGTGCAGGGCTCTGTGGCTCCTCCAGCCACTATAGGAGATGGTCTTGACCTCAGCAGATGGGTCAGGCAAGTCCCTGGGTGGAGACCCAGAACACAGGCAGGCCCAGGCTTTGAACATTCCTGCTGTTTACCCAGGATTCTGTGCCAGACTAGGAAAGAGAAGGAAGGTTTCTTGGAGGTGCGTGAGAGTGCCCACTGGCAGCACCCTCCCTTTAACCAGGGTCATGCAGGAAAGAGGGTGCATGAGCTCTGTGGTTTAGCCTTGTGTGCAACTCCTGTGTGGTAGATTCCCTGTGGCATATGTGCATTGAGTTCACACATGGAGTAGTATAAGTGGGAAAAACAGTGCCTATATATGTATTTGTATATGTGTGTGACCTATGACCTTACTCTCACAAATAGCAGTGTTTGGGAGGATTTTTGTTCTTGTTTGCTTGTCTTTGTATAACATATATTCAGTAAAGTACTCAAATTTAAAGTACACAACTCAGTGACTTTTTACACATATATACACTCATGTAACCTACACTCAGATCAAGATAAAGCCTCCACTGTACTCATTCTTAGTTAATAATTTCCCCTAAAACTCCACAGTGGTACCCTTAAACTTCATATGTTAAGTGCTATTGAATTTTACCTTAAACTTCATATGTTGTTGTTAAGTGTTGTCAAGTCTGTTACAACTCATAACAACCTTATACAGGACTTCCAAGGGACAGCTGGTGAGTTTGAACTGCTGACCTTTCGGTTAGCAGACCAGTGCTTATTCTACAGTGCCACACTTCATGTAAATGGAATTATATAGAGTATATTCTTGTGTTTGGTTTCTGTCCTTTCTAATGAATCTATGAAATTTATCCAGATCTTGCTTTGATCACTAGCTTATTCTTTTCTATTGTTACATTATACAAATATTCTATATAACAAATTATTAATCTACTCTAGCAATATTGCATTAGGCAAATCTGCTACACAAGACCTCTTTAAAGTATTGAAGAGCAAAGATGTCAGCTTGAGGACTAAGGTGGCCTGACCCAAGCCATGGTATTTTCAATAGCCTCATGTGCATCTGAAAGCTAGACAGTGAATAAAGAAGACCGTAGAAGAATTAATGCTTTTGAGTTATGGTGTTGGAGAAGAATATTGAAAGTGCCATGGGCTGCCAAAAGAAATAATAGATCTGTTTTCGAAGAAGTGCAGTCAGAGTGCTCCTTGGAGGCCAAGATGACCAAACTTCATATCTCGTACTTCACACATATTGTCAGGAGGGACCAGTCACTGGAGAAGGATATCATGTTTAGTAAGGTGCAGTGTCAGAGAAAAAGAGGAAGACCCCCAATGAGATGGATTGGCCAAGTGGCAGCATCGATGGACTCAAGAGTGACAACAGTAGTGAGGTTGGCCCAGGATCAGGCAGCATTTCATTCTGCTGTGCATAAGGTCACTATGGGTTGGTACCAACTCAATAGCACCTAACAACAACAACAGCAGCAGTAATTGACATTTGGGTTTTCCCAATTTTTATCTTCTATGAATGGTTTGGTGCTGTGGGTCAATGCACTGGATTACAAAGTTGATTTGAACCACAAAGTCAGTGGTTCAAGCTCACCAGCTGCTCCTCAGAAACCCTACAGGGTCACTATGGGTCAGAACTGACTCAACAGCACTTAACAACAAATGACAACAATGAATGAAGCTTTTGCAAATATTCATGTACAGGGTGTTTGCTAGATATATCATTTATCTCAGGTATATCCCATAATTGCTCAGCCATCAAATCATAAAATTGTCATAAGCTTATCTTTACTAGATTCAGACAATTTCCCAAAATATTTGCACCAATTTGTATCCCACCAACAATATATGAGAGTTGCTCCATATCTTCACCAACTCTCAGTATTGTCAGGTTTTATTAGTTTTAGACTATCTGGTGTCTATGAAGAGATAACTTATTGTGGTTTTAATTTGCATTTGCCTCATAAGTAATAGGAAGGAGCTCTGGTAGCATAGTGGTTTCGAGTTAGGCTGCTAACCTCAAGGTCAGCAGTTCGAAACTACCAGCCATTCCATAGGAAAAAAAATGAGGCTTTCTGCTCCCGTAAAGATTTACAGCCTCAGAAACCCTTTACAGGGTTACTATGAGTCAGAACTGACTCCATAGCACATAACCACCACCACCAATGAAAAATAGTGTGGCGTTGTAGGATAAGCACAGGGCTGCTAACTGCAAGGTTTTCTGTTCAAACCAACCAGTCACTCCTCAGAAACCCTATGAGTTGGAACTAACTTGATGGCACTTAACAAAAACAACAATGATTAATAAAAATTTGAGCACCTTTTGGTGTACTTATCTGTCCTTTTGTGGTTTGTCTGTTCAACTTTTTACAGAACACAATGTCTATAAAAATAGACAAATGACTAACAAAAACAGAGAGCAGAACAGAGCCATCTTGAGAGAGAGCATTACACCCCAGCTCAGCAACTCATCATTTCTACAATTGCAAACTAGTCACTGCAAATAGCAAACTAATCATTCTGAACAAATTACCTGGATATCACCAAGGCCCTCGACTTAGTTTCAGCAGGGATAAGAGGATGCAAACTATGAACAACAGCCAGCCCCCGCCTGAGAGTTTCCCTTATCCAACTTACTGACTGCTTTTCTTTCACTTGCAGGATCCTGACAGTGATCAACCCCTGAATAGTTTCGGTAAGTTCAGGTCTGACTTTCTTTGTCTACCTCAGCCTCTGATTATCAATGATCAAATAGTTCCTAAACTCCTTTTGTGAACCCTTCATAACTACAACCAAGTGTCAAATGCTTTGGGGAGTATCCATCCATCCATCATTCAGCAAACAGTTATTGAGCACCTATAAAGTCCCACCATCCATTCTAAAAGTAGGAGGCATGGCATCTGGAGAAACAAGAACAACAAACCTAACATCCCAAGAGTAGTGGTTCTCTGTCTCATTCATTCAGTTACTGATTTGCTTATTCATTCAACAAAAATGTGAGTGTCTGCCATATGCCAGGCCCTGAACTGGGCTATAACAGTCCGTAAGGCAGGCCAAATTCTCACAGTGTATAGGTGAGTCATGCTATCAAGGTACAGATTGGACAATGTTGTTTTCACCTATAGGAAAGTAAATGCCAGTGTTTGCCTGGTTTACAGGAGAAAAATATATATGTAAAATTTAAGGAGTGTTCTTCATTAGATTTTCTTAAACCTGTTTAGCCTGCTAGATCAACAAAATGAATGGGCAAAGAATATGAACCAATTTTTTAAATGTCCAATCCCACTCACTTCAACAGCTTACTTATTTCATGACACTGAGTCATGAGTTTCTAATGACCACGGATGATATAATCTTCAGCAAGTAAGACAGTGCTTAGTTGATACTTTAGGAGCTCTGGTAATGTAGTAGTTAAGAATTGGTCTGCTAACCTCAAGGTCAGTGGTTTGAACTACCGGACATTCTGTGGGAGAAAGATGAGGCTTTCTGTTCCAGCAAAGATTTACAGCCTCGAAAACTCGATACAGGATCACTATGAGTCAGAACCGACTCCACAGCACACCAACACCACCATCTGATACTTTTGAATTTATATATCAACAGCCTGTGGTGTTCCCCAAGTGCACCTGAGGGCACCCGCACCAGCGTAAGATTGAAGGCTACTGAACCAGAACACAAGTGAAATTTGTCACAGATGCTCCAGGTAAAGGGATCGTGAGAATGAGAGGCCAGTGGCCACTCAAGTGGTTGGTCTAAGATAGCACCAAGGCCATGTGAACCTTAGCAAAGACCCTAAAGAACGAGTACACTATCAAAACCAGAATGGAGTGATGAAGGCATGGTGAAAGGAACATCACAAGCAAAGAATTCATACAGATTGTGAGAGAACCAGGGAGTAAGCCTGAGGATTGGTGGGAAGATCATTTGCATAGGAGAGTGGAACCAGATAAAGAAGTCATGGGGAGCTCTTGTAGGTACTCAAGTAGGAAAGAGATGGAAGCAGTAGTTAGGAAGCTGTGTTACTTTAGGAAGTCTTGCCTATCCACAGGTCCCTGTGTGGTGCAAAGAGTTCAACTTCTAACAGAAAGATTGACAGTTTGAACTCACCAAGCAGCACCACAAAAGAAAGACCTGGTGATCTGCTTCCACAGAAAGTGCAGCCAAGAAATCCTATAGAACAGGTCTACTTTGTAATGCATGACATCACCATGCATTGGAATTGACTTAACAGCAATAGGTGTTGGATTTTTGTCTAGCCACAGTGTGCAGGACAGACAGAAGAAAGGAACCATTGTACTCAGGGAGGTCATTCATACATTGCTCAGTGGAATTGTTAACTCTAATTGGGTGTGGAAAAGAAACCAAGAAAACCTTTTCCTTCATGATGAAGGAAAGCAGATACTCTCTGAGAACATCTGGGGTTGGAGGTATTGAGCACTGGACATACGAATTCATCCAAAAACTCCCAATAGGTCACTCAGCCTTTAAGAAAACAAGCCAATACTGTTAAAAGAAAGAATGAAAAGAGAACAAGCCAAACTCATGTCCCTAGGGGAATACTGGGTGGTCTAGCATATGTAATATTGTTGTTGTTACATGTCGTGGAGTCGGTTCTGACTCATAGTGACCCTGCATAGGGTTTAGGTACTCTATAAACAAATATGAATGAATGAAAAAAATGCCACTCTGTTCATGACCCCAGGAAAGAGAATAGTTCCGAAGACTGGCTGCTAGGACTTAAAAACAATGTGGGCTAACACTGTTGATAACTTACTGTGTGACAAGTACTGAAAATGTACAGAAATGATCCCTCTCTATACGTATTCTCATGCCTGCGCTTGGTATCTAAGGTTGGAATCTCCCTTTGAGCTAACACAGTTTCCTAAACTTTCTCTACAGCAGATTCAATGGTGTCCGCAGGGAGTCACCACTCATCTATCAGTTTGTCTTACTGTGGTAACTTATGTGTTTGTCTCACAGTAACTATGTGTTGCTGGGATTCTGGAAGCTATGCCACCAGTATTTTAAATAGCAGCAGAGTCACCCAGGCTAGACAGGTTTCAGTGGAGCTTTCAGGCTAAGACAGACTAAAAACAAGAATAGGTGGACCATTTCTGAAAGGTTAGTCATTGAACACCTTATGAATAGCAACAAAACACTATCTGGTTTTGTGCTGGCCTATGAGCTCCTCAGGCTGGAAGGCACTCAAAATATGACTGGGGAAGAGCTGACTCCTCAAATCTTAATGATTTAAATAGAGCAATGCTTTACAGACCTTAGTTTGCTGATGGGGCACAACTCCAAATGAGAAGAAATAGCTGCAAATATCCATTAATAATCCAAGCATGGGAATTATGAAGCATGAATATAGGAAAATTGAAAGTTGTCAAAAATGAAATGGAACACATCAATATCTTAAGGATTCCTGAAATGGACTGATATTGGCTATTTAGAATCAGACAATCCTATGTTTCACTATGCTGGGAACAACAATTCAAGAGTAATGGTGTTGCATGCACTGTCAAAAAGAGCATCTATCCTGAAGTACAATGTTATCTGTGATAGGATAATATCCATACACCTAAAAGGAAGACCAATCAATACTGACTATTATACAAATTTATGCACCAATCACTATAGCCAAAGATGATGAAATTGATCAAACATGCAATCAAAATGCACTGATAATTACTGGTGATTGGAATGTGAAAGCTGGAAACAAAGAGAAAGAATAAGTAGTTGGACAATATAGCCTTGGTGATAGAATGCTACCAGAGATCACATGATAGAATTTTGCAAGACCAATGACTTATTCATTGCAAATGCTTTTTATCAACAACATAAATGATGACTATACACATGGACCTCATCAGATGGAATACACAGGAATCATCTGTGGGAAGAAATGATGGAGAAATTCAATATCATCAGCCAAAACAAGGCTAGACCATCAATTACTCATGTGCAAGATCAGGCTGAAGCTGAAGAATTTTTAAACATTTCCATAAGAGTCAAAATATGACCTTGAGTTTGTTATTGTTGTTAAGTGCCATTGAGTCAGTTTCAACTCATAGCGACCCTGTAAAGGGTTTCCAAGGAGCAGCTTGTGAGTGTGAACCGCCGACCTTGCAGTTCAAACTAACCTTGGAGGTCAAGTGCTTATCCTATGGCACCACACCAGGATTCTGACCTTGAGTTCACCCCCACCTGAATTTAGAGACCATCTCAAGACCAGATTTGATGCATTGGACACTCACGACTGAAGACTAAAGGAGTCACGGGATGACATTAAGAACATCATACATGAAGAAAGAAAAAGGTCATTAAAAAGAAAGAAAAGACCAAAATGGATGCCAGAAGAAACTCTGAAACTTGCTCTTATTTAGTTAAAATGCAGTTAATGAATAGTTAAGTGAATGGAAGAAATGATTAAATAAAAGAGCTGAACGTATGTCAAAAGGCAACTGCAGAAAACAAAGTAAAGTATTATAATGAATGTATCCAAAGAAAGAAGACCCAACAGAATGTGGAAATTGTTGAACAATATCATTAATATCACATGCAAGTAAAATTTTGCTGAGGATAATTCAAAAACTTCCAGTAGTACATTGACAGGGAGTTGCTGGAAACTCAAGCCAGATTCAGAAGAGGTTGTGGAACAAGGGATATCATTGCTGACATCAGATGGATCCTGACTTAAAGAAGAGAGTACTAGAAGATGGCTACTTGAGTTTTATTGACTATGCAAAAGCACTCGGCTGTGTGAGTCACAACAAATTATAGATATCATTGTGAAGAATGGGAACTTCAGAAGACTTAATTGTGTTCATGAGGAACCTGTACATAGACCAAGAGGTCGTCGTTTGAACAGAACAAGAGGCTACTGAATGGTTTAAAGTCAGGAGAGGTGTGCACCAAGGTTGTATCCTTTCACCATACTTATTCAATCTGTATGCTGAGCAAATAATCCCAGAAACTGGATTATATGAAGAAGAACGTGGCATCAGAATTGGAGCAAGACTCATTAACAACCTGTGATAGGTCGATGATACAACTTTGTTTGCTGGAAGTGAAGAGAACTTGAAGTGCTTACTGATGCAAACCAAAGACTACAACTTTCAATATGGATTGTACCTCAATATAAAGAAAACTAAAATCCTCACAACTGGACCAATAAATAACATCATAATAAATGGGGAAAAGTTGAAGTTGTCAGAGACTTAATTTTGCTTGTGTCCACAATCAACATTCATGGAAGCATTAAACAAATCTACTGACAAAGATGTCAATTTGAGAACTAAGATGAGCACCTAACCCAAGCTGTGTTATTTTCAATTACTTCATATGCATGTGAAAGTTGGACAGTGAGTAAGGAAGACCGTGGAAGAATCGATGTATTTGAATTATGGTGTTGCTGAAGAATATTGAAAGTACCATGGACTGTCAGAAGAACAAACAAATCTCTATTGGAAGAAATATCGCCAGAGTATTCCTTAGAAGCAAGACTAATGAGGCTTTGTCTCTCATACTTTGAACATGTTGTAAGGAAGGACCAGTCCCTGGAGAAGAACATTATTCTCAGTAGAGTGTTGATGAAAAAGAGTAAGACCGCCAATGAGATGATGGACTGACACAGTGGCAGCAACAATGAGCTAAAACAACAACGCTTGTGAGGATGGCACAAGAACGGGCAGTATTTCATTCTGTTGTTCATACTATCGCTATGAGTCAGAAGCAACTGGACAGCATCTAACAGTAATCTCTGGCAAGGGCCCAATCTCTGCTTTTAAAGAGCTGAGAAAAGCAATAGAGAAACGCATAACCAGCCATCATTTGAGAAGGAATAAAATGAGATCTGTAAGAAAGACAAAGGTGTATGCTTAAGAGAACAGAGCAAAGCACAATTTATTTATTCATTCCTACTATAGAAATGAATAAATTTCTGGTAGCGTAGTGGTTACGAATTGGGCTGTGAACCTTAAGGTCAGCAGTTCGAAACTACCAGACGCTCCACGGGAGAAAGATGAGGCTTTCTACTCCCGTAAAGATTTACACCCTCAGAAACTCTGTACAGGGTCGCTATGGGTCGGAACCGACTCGACGACATTTAACAACAACAACAACAACAACAACAACACTATAGACCAAGCACTGTTCTAGGCACTGAGAATAAAGACTCTTTAAGGAGCTCTGATAGCATAGTGGTTACGAGTCAGGCCGCCAACCTCAAGGTCAACAGTTCGAAACTACCAGCAATTCCGCGGGAGAAAGATGAGGCTTTCTGCTTCTGTAAAGATTTACAGCCTCAGAAACCCTGTGCAAGGTCACTATGAGTCGGAACCAACTCCACAGTACTTAACAACAACAACATCTTCATGAAGGATTCGTGGTGTGGTGCTGTGGGTTAATGTGCTGGACTACAAAGTTGATTTGAACTGTAAGGTCGGCAGTTCAAACTCACTAGCCGCTCCTCGGAAACCCTATGGAGGTTTGCTATGGGTCAGTACCGACTCGATGGCACTTAACAACAACAACAACATCTGCATGAAGTCTTCAATTTAGGAAGGAGTTACGAGGGGACAGAAAATACACAAGATATGAAAAATAAAGAATATGCTAAAGGTGATAAATGCTTTGGAAAAAATAAAGCAGGCAAGGAGAATAGAAATGTTGGAAGATTGCATTATAAATAGATCACGAAAGTCCTTACTCACAGAGTGACATTTGAAGAAGTACTTGAAGGAGGTAAGGAAGTAAGTCATGTGGAGGAAGGAGGCAGGGGAGAGAGCAGAGAGCAGCCTACTGCTTTCTAGGGTTTCTGGGGGCTGCCTAGAACCAATGAGCAGGAGGGGAGTAGGAGGTCAAGTCTGATCCTTAACCAGCAGGCAAATCATTGGGTCCTTAAAGACTACTGTAAGGACTTTGGCTCTGAGTGGGATGGCAGCCTCTGAGGGTTCTGAACCACAGTCTAATTAGCTCACTATGACAGCTTTTGTAAGACCCTAGATAGCAGGGAGACCAGAGAGGTGGCTTGAAACAGGTGGTGAGAAGTAGTCATACTCTGTATAATCCTGTTGACCCATAGAGCATCCAAGGATATTGAGAAGACAAAGTGCACAATAAAGGGTGTGTTGGTAACTTTTTAACAATGCTTTCTGGGGAAAGGAGACAGGGGGTGTCCTAATATATAGTATTTGCTGATTTGCATGGTGTGAACACTTAGATCCTGCCAAAATTAAAGTTCCAAATGTAAATGGAGAGTTGGAAAAAGATGTGGAAAAATCTGCGATGGTTCCAGCTCATTACAGACACCCCAAACTAGGTTTTCCCCCCTCTTCTTCCTCACCCACTTCAAATCTAGGTTGTGGGCAGTGGACTGTCCTGCTTCTATCAAGCTCAAGCAAGGGGAAGAAAGGAAGAAGAGAGAAAATAAAGCTATATCAAGTTTTACCTGCCTCCTGGTGTGGTGCTGTGGGTTAATACGCTGGACCGAAAGGTGGGCGGTTCAAGCTCACCAGTTGCTTCTCAGAATCCCTGTACAGGGTTGCTGTGGGTCGGAACTGACTCAATGGCACTTAACAACAAAAACAGCCAAAGTAGGTTTCTATGTGCCGTTTAGTTTAGTGGAATTACTAGATACTGTAATTCAGAGTCATTGCCTAACAGAAAGGATTCCCTGTGTGGTACAAATAGTTAAGTGTTAAATTCCTAACCTACATATTAGCAGTTCAAATCCACCCAGAGGCACCTCCAAAAAGTAGGCTTAGAAATCTACTATAAAAGATTTGTTTTTGTTTTCTATCTAACAGAAAGCAGCTGCTGCAAACCATTCTTATTCTTTGGGGATTCTCAGGGCTGCCATCATACCTACCCAGCTTTCTCTGGAGAAGGAGTTCCCATGGCACTTTCCCAGCTGGTGTCTGCCAGGAAAGAACTCATCTCTGACACTTCCTGAGAATTTACTATTTCAAAACCCTTCTCGCTTACTATTCTCTTGGCTAACCATGCGAAGTAGACAATGTCCCTATTATTACCTGTGTTTTAGGTAGTAATAGACTCCTTTCTGGTCTCCCTAACACCAGTCTATTTTGCTCTAATACATACCCTCCCCGATGAAAGGGAAGATATATCATCTTCCTAAATATTCATTTGAGTATGTATTTCCACTGCTAACAATGTTTCAATGGTTCCTCACTGCCTTCAAGATAAAATCCCAACTTGTTAGTATGGCATTGCAGACTCTCCACAACTGACTTTGCCCAGTCCTTCCCTAAACACATGTTTTATCTACCTTATCTTCCAAGTCTACCAGATAACTCACAATTCTCTGCCTCCATGCCATTGCCTGAGCTGGTCCAGCCTCCTCCCTCCCCCACCTCTACCCACAGACCCATGGCCACCCCGTTGAGTCTCACTCATAGAGTCCCCATTAAACACAGCTCCTCAGGAGACTTTCACCAGCCTCCCTTTGACGATGTCTCTGTTAGTACATGGATCGTCTTTAGTCTCATGAGACTAGTATGTGGGTTCCTGGTTGACTCTTCCTCCACATTGTAATTATTAAAACTCTGAGTGATGCAAATGGTTGACACAATGGGCTGCTGACAAAGAGTTTGGAGGTTCAAGTACCCCAAGAGGGACAGCAGAAGAAAGGCCTGGTGATCTACTGAGAGCCCTATGGCACATGGACTCACGAAGAGTTAGAAGTGATCCAACAGCAAATAATTTAGTTTTCAATGTAACCACATGCTAATGTAACCTCTTCAAGCTTATGCTGTTGTTATGTGCTGTGGAGTCGGTTCCGACTAATAGCGACCCTGTACAGGGTTTCTGAGGCTGTAAATCTTTATGGGAGCAGAAAGCCTCATCTTTCTCCCGTGGAACAGCTGGTAGTTTCGAACTGCTGACCGTGAGGTTAGCAGCCCGATTTGTAACCTCTACACTACCAGAGTTTAACCAAAAGATAAGTCAAGCAGGAGGGTAAATGTTATTGCAGTGACTGGGTATGTGCCAGAGTTCACGTCTGAGAGACTCGGGGCTCTCCCCAGGACAAGCACAGGGCAGGCTGAACAGGGGAGAAGCATTCTAAAACAGGCTGAGCCATGAGAAGGGGAAGGCAGTTTGGATTGGAGATTCATTTGAGGGGTGCTTCAGTCAGACTCAGAAGAGTCATAAGCCTCGATAAGGGAGGCTGTGAAGCTTTGTACTGATGAAACTAAACCCAGTCTGCTGGAATAACACCCTAGCACTAACCAAAATGGTCCCCAAAAGCATTCCAGGGGTTCAACACATAAGGCAGAGAGTGGGGTGGGTGTGGGCTTTCATAGGCCCAGCCTTCAAATGCCAGCCAGTGGGTCTGAGCACACTGATTGTTTTGCCTTACATCTTTTTGCAGATGTCACCCCACTGCGCAAACCCCGCAGCTCCCTGGAGACCTTCAAAAAGGTGGGGATTCCCATCATTGCAGCAGCGCTGAGTCTGGCGACCATCATTGTCGTGGCTGTCCTCAGTAAGTGGCAGACCCCACGGCACCCCTTGATAAGTGTCAGCCCCCAACTCCACCCTCAGTAAATGGCAGCCCTCACCCCACTCCTACCTCAGCACCCACCTCACCCTCCACCCTTCCACCTCCACAGAGTCATAGGCAGGTTATCTGCAGAAAACTTTGCAGGGGAAAAAAAACCCACGTACCCACATGTTTCCATACCCTACTTTAAAGAGAGTCTTCTAAGAGTGAAGGAGGAGGGGAGCCCAGCCCCTACCTGTCCCAGATGCTCTTCCTTACAAGGCTGCACACATTACAAACCCACACAGGCAATTTGCATGGTTGGCTGTACCCTTGTCTCCTCCCACAGACTAAGAACTGAGTAGATTGTTGCTGGTTGGAAGAGCAGAGGGCAGTTCTGCTTGTTGTGTTGTTGTTGTTGTTGTTAGGTGCCATCAAGTGTGCTCTGACTCACAGCACCCTTATGCGTAACAGGAAAAAAACACTGCCCCGTCCTACACCATCCTCACAGTTGTTATGTTTGAGCGCATTATGACAGCCACTGTGTCCGTCTATCTTGTTGGAGATCTTCCTCTTCTTCGATGACATTCTGCTTTACCAAACATGAAGTCTTTTTCCAGACACCATGTTCAAAGTATGTAAGACAAAATCTCGCCATTCTCACTTCCAAGGAACACTCTGGCTGTACTTCTTCCAAGATGGTTTTGTTTGTTCTTTCTGTAGCAGTTCATGGTACTTTCAATATTCTTTTTTTTAAAATGTGCTATTGTGAATCATGTTGACAGTCCACATGGGAGAACACTAGTTCCACACCCATCCCACCGTACATCGTCTCATTGCCATGGTTACAATACCCTCCACGCAATCCTTCCCCCGTACCCCCCAGGTCTTCAGTACACAGTCGCTCTCCCTCCCTGGATCCAAAGTCCCCAGCTGCTCCATCGCTCCACGCCATCATCTCTGGCCCCATCCCAGGCATCACCACTTCTCTGGGTAGGGTCCCGCTCTCTGCTCTTCTCCCTTGATGGTCCTAGGGACCTCCGCTCCTAGACTGAAAAGTTAATCACTCCCCTCCTTGCTATAAAACGTCTACCTTTACATTTCCGACCCTCACAATCAGTCCTGATAACAATTATTCACTATTGTATCACAAGAGACCCATCTGCATTTAATTGCATCAACCCCGCCTAGACAGATTGAATACTACTCACTGGAGACTCTACCCTCCTCCAGGCCCTCTGGATCTAGGTTCCCTCTTGAAAGCCTGCAAGCCAGTCACTTCCTGCCTTTGTAGCCCCCCACCCCCCATTTTGGGTAGCCAATGTCCAAGTTGCCCATCCCTGTCTACTCTGTGTGTGGAGAGGGTGGGCATGATTCTTGCTGTAAGGACTTGTTCCCTCTTTTGAGCTACTGCTTCCATAAGTGTAGGTCAAGTTCATCAAATTGTCTGAGAATACTTTTTGGGTTTTTTTTCCTCTTCTTTTCACCTCTGGTTGAGTTCTGATCATCCAGTCACTGAAGCCAGGATAAGTGGGTATTATCTGCAAGTGTGGGTGTTCTTATGCATATGCCCTCTCTTCCTATCAGCTGGACGCTTCACTCTCCACTCCAGTCCTCTGTGGCTATGTCACCGACTCTGGGCCCAAGAGTCCCCAGTTCCTGCCACACTCAATATTCTTTTCCAATTCCATAATTCAAATGCATCGATTCTTCTTTATTCATTCTCCAGCTTTCACATGCATATGAGGTGATTGAAAATAACATGCCTTGAGTCAGGCGTGCCTTAGTCCTCAAAGCAACATCTTTGCTCTAACATTTTAAAGAGGTCTTTTGCACCGACTCTTAACCACTACACTACCAGACTCCAGACAAATGGCACCCCTCCTCACCTTTAACTCTGCCGTCCTACCTTCATCATGGCCAGTGTTGTCGCCCACATGGGGAAAGGGTGGTGCCACCCTAGGCCTCCTACTGTTTCTTTATCTGTGATAAAGAAGATAAAGATGAATGAACAGTGATTTCCACAATCCCTCTCAGTTCCCACACCCAGTGACTGAGTTCTAACCTTCATCTCCCACTTCGTCACAGCAAGGAGCAGAGCATGGGAGACTGGAGTAGCAATCAAGACACTCTGACACTATGTGACCTTGAGTAATTAGCCTCAGTCTCTCTTAACCTCAGTCTCCTCTTCTGTAAAATACCCTGCTTCCCTCAGAGCAATAGCATGAGGACATTGAGGTAGTGTGTGTAAAGAGCCTGGAGAAAAGCAGCCAGTGTAAACGTGGGCGCTATCATGCAGCACACAGTGAAGTGGCCAAGGACCTGCACTTACTGACCAGGGCGGGACCAGAAATTACTAGCCTTTCAGAAGCCTACACTTGTAGCCCAGGTGGCATTGCCACCAGCAATAGTCACTGCTTCATCAGAGAGCACTCAGAGGTCACTTGGTCCAACACTTGAGAATGGAGGTCCCGAGAAGAGCACGTGTGGCAGCTGGACATAGAGGTGAGCAGAAACCAGGTCTCTCTCCTGAGGAGTCCATGTTCATTTCCATCTAGTAGCAGTGGGTGTGCAGATCCACAACATAAGCACTACCTGAGTCCTTGAGAGCCCCGGAAGGGTGTAGACACAGATAACCCCAAGTCACTTCTTCTTACCATTGGGTGGTACTGGGTTTGCAGCAGCAACTGCAGATTTGCCATCCTAAGCCTGTTTTATTCAGACAAATATTAAATTGATTTGTCTTCTCTGAGCACGTACCCTACAACAGTGGAGAGAGAAGAAGGACCAAATTCATCCAGGGGAAGCCAGGGCAGAGAGCATGTCATAGTTTAATTTAGAGTTGAGCTTTCCCTGTCTCAGCAGGCAGGCCCTGTGGAGCTTCCGTGCCCTTGGCCCCTTTGCAATCAGAAGAAGCAGTCCATGACTTTATCCTGAACTAGACCCCTCAATCTTTTGGCTTCTGTGGTCTCATCTTGTGACACTGTGCCCTGACCTTGTTGCAGAAGACTGGAGTGGTCTTGCCTTGCCTGGGCTCCTGATCAGGAACCAAACTCTGGAAGTCTGGGAAATATCTGGAGTGCGCTTACTCCTTTGATTCACTCAAATCAGGAGCATCAAAGCCAACAGATCACATCTTTAACCTTCAGGGAAGGCATGAAGAAGCAGCTGAGTTCGACCTGATCCAAATCCTGGCTCTACCACTTAAGTTGCTGTGTTCTCTTGGGAAATGTCCTCTAAATTTCTAAGCCTTAGACTCCTTGTTTGTTGCCGTTGTTTGTTGCCATCGAGTCAGTTCCAACTTATAGCTACCCTGTGTACAACAGAATGAAACACTGCCTAGTCCTGTGCCATACTCACATCATTGTTAAGCCTAAACCCATTGCTGCTGCCACCTTGTCAATCCATCTCATTGGGGGTCTTCCTCTTTTTTGCTGACCCTTCACTTTACCAAGCATAACGTCCTCCTCCATGGACTGATTCTTCACAACAACATGTCCAAAGTATAAGAGACAAAATCTCGCCATCCTTTGACTGTACTTCTTACAGACATGTTTGTTCTTCTGGCAGTCCATGGTATTTTCAATATTCTTCTCCAACACAATAACTCAAATTCATCACTTGTATATTCTTCCGTATTCATTGTCCAACTTTCACATGCAGATAAGGTTATTGAAAATGCTATGGCTTGGGGTGGGTGCACTTTAGTCCTCAAAATGTTATCTTTGCTCTTGAACACTTTAAGAGGTCTTGTGTAGCAGATTTACTTTTTGCAATACATTGTTTGGTTTCTTGACTGCTGCTTCTATGAGTGTTGATTGTGGATCCAAGCAAAATGATATCTTTGACAACTTCAATCTTTTCTCCATTTATCATGATGTTACTTATTGGTCCAGCGTGAGGATTTTTGTTTTCTTTACATTACACACAGCTACTAAGGACAGAAATGGTCCTGAAGCCCAGATCTGCCTGTCTCCAACCCAGCACTATTCTCAGGAAAGCCCAACTTCTCCCTGTCTCAGCACCTACTTGGCCCCCAGCCCTCTCTGCCTCTCCATGCACTTACCTTTTAGTCAAGGTGATCCTGGACAAATACTACTTCCTCTGCGGGCAGCCCCTTCACTTCATCCCCAGGAGGCAAGTGTGTGATGGCCAACAGGATTGTGCCTTGGGGGAGGACGAGCAGCACTGTGTCAAGAGCTACCCAGATGGGCCCCTAGTAGGAGGTGAGTCCAGGGACTGGGGGACAAGGTGGGTGGGCCCAGTAGAAGTCAGCTCAGGACTTCTTGGTCCTCTGGTGGCACCTGCCACTTATATGTCAGTTTCTATACCTACCATGAGATTGGAGAGCAGCATCATGTCTTATTTACCTTTAGATTCTTCAGTACTTAACACATCAAAAACACTCAGTAGCTATTTGGTGGACAAATGTGGGTCACTCCACTAATCCATTGCCATTGAATCTGAGGGGACAGGGAATTGTCATTGACTCTGCCTCTTTCTTGCTGCACCTGGGTAGCATTGATGATCTTGAAGGTTAGATTGGATGACACTGGAGAATTTCCTCTTTTCTATGAAATCTATTGTTTCAAGGGGACGAGAAAAGAGACTGTAAAGTCATTTAACCAGCAATTGGTCCTTCTATTCATTGTTGTTGTTGTTAAGTGCTGTTGAGTTAGTTCAGACTCATTGCAACCCTATATAGGGTTTCCAAGGAGTCACTGGTGAGTTTGAACCACTGATCCTGTGGTTAGTAGTCCAGTGTTTAGACAAGTATTTATTATAGCCTGTTAAGTATCTGGAATGGGTTAGGTCCTTCAAAGGAATGTGAGATGTTTTGAGCATAAAAACTCATGTTATTTCTTAGATTGGGCTAGCCCAATTTAAATCACCCAGTACTTGGATTCTAAAGAGGAAAAATAGTCCAGATTATGGTTGATGGGGGCTTTTGAGGGGCAGGGCTGAGTCATGTCTTGTCTATTTGCTCCTTTTGAATCAGAAGTCAAATACCTGTCAATGATACTTCTCATTCAAACTTCCCTCTCTGACTTTAGGTGAAAAAAAAAAATACCTAGATCCCCTTGTTAGGAAGTTTTTGCAAGTTGGGGAAATTGTGATAGATATTGTGACAAGTGACTATAAAATTTACCACCATTTGTAAGAGCCAAAGGAGCCACTATTCATAATTGTACCAGGGCAACATGCCAAAATAGAGATTGTCTCCACATCACTGGATCACCCTGGCTACCAACAAGAGTCCTTGGTGGTGTAAATGATTAATGCATTCTATACTAACCAAAGGAGTCCTGGTGTGGCACTGTGGGCTAATGTGTCAGACTGCAAAGTCATTTGAACTGCAAGTACGGTGGTTCAAGCTCACCAGCTGTTCCTTGGAAACCCTATACAAGTAGGAATCGACTTGACGGCACTTAACAACAACAACACACTAACCGAAAGGTTGGTGCTTCAATTTCACCCTCAGAAGAAAGGTCTGGCCATCTACTACTTGAAAAATCAGCCACTGAAAATGCTGTGAAGCGCAGTTCTATTCTGACACACATGGGGTCAACAAGCATCCCAATAGATTCAATGACTTAATCAAAACTAGGTTCGCTCAAGCAGTGCTAAGTGGAGGAACTTCCCTTGATGTTGAAAGGATTTGTGCTTTACAATACTCTCCAGTTCTGGGATGGGGAAGCTTGGGCTGGTCTCCTGAGTTTTGAGGGGGATGGGCCAGCTGAACCCTTACCCTCCAGCTGACCCAGCTTCCTCCCCTCCCAGTCCGCCTCTCCAAGGATCGATCCACCCTACAAGTGCTGGACCCCACCACAGGTGTCTGGGCCTCCGCCTGTTTCGACAACTTCACAGAAACTCTTGCCAAGACAGCCTGTGGACAGATGGGCTATGGCAGGTACCCAACCCATGCCTCTGGAAGCAACACCATGCCCCCACACCCTTCAATCTCTCTTCTTCCTCCGTCCCCCTTTCCTCCTTTCCTCTTGCTTTCCTAAAAATATGGGCACTGGAGTCGGACAGACCTGCTCTGGGGTCCCAACACCTGAATTTGCCAAGAAACATGAAGTAAATTTCCTAAGCCTCAATGTCCTCAAGAGTCAATTGGAGAAAATAATGCCAGCCTCATAGGATGACGATGAGATGTCAATAAAAGAATGCATGCACCTCCATACATACACATGTGCGCATACAATTCTAACTCCTTTGCAGCCCTCTCCTTTCTTGGTTTCTCAATCCTCACTCCTTCCTAATTTTGCAAGAAGTGATCCCTGGCCCAGAATACAAAAACCTTATTTACTTATTCAAAATTCCATTGGTCAAAATTTAGTTTAAGCAAATCTGGCTTCATTGGAGCCCCATAAGCAATCCCAGCTCTCTCAGCAAATTGCAAACACAGCTTCAAATCTGGAGTAGATGAAAGGCATATAATTATAATAAGGGTAATTAGCGTATATATTAACGTTCATTCTATCTTGGCAAAAAAACCAAAAAGGTAGTTAGTCTTATGTCTATTTTATAGATAGGCTTAGAGAAGATAAGTAACTTTTCTTGGGTTGTAGCTAAGAGGTGAGGTGGTGGTTATGTGCCGTGGAGTCGGTTCCGATTCATAGTGACCCTGTATAGAATTTCTGAAGCTGTAAATCTTTATGAAAAGAGGAAAGCTTCATCTTTCTCCCACAGAACAGCTCATAGTTTCAAACTGCTGACCTTGAGGTTAGCAGTCAGACTTGCAACCATTACACTACCAGAGCTCCTTGTAGCTAAGAGGTGGAGGAAGGAAAATTGTACCCAAGGTCCCTTAATTACTGAGTCTGAGTTCTAGTATTATCTATGTTTCTAACTTAGGTAATTTTTTCATGGGGCTTTATTTATAAAAGGAGAGAGGAGGTGAGACAGTTACTTAGAGAACCTAAGTAGAGAAAAAGATACCTTGTTCAGCTGTACAGTTGGATAACCTTTCCTGGGCAAGCCCTAAACTTCTTCAGGATTCTAAGTAACTGGACCCAGAGACTAGGCAGAAATAATAAATACTAGGCAGACATTGCCAATCGATCACAGCACTCTATCCCAGTGATCTCTAAAGCAGCTTCAAGGTCCTTTCCCATAAAGGTCCAAGCAGTTATTACTAATTGATCGGCCCTACTTGCCCTCTCGTCTCTTTGGTTATTCGTCTTCTGCTGCTTCCTACCCACCATGGGGTGCAACTCCCAGGACCCTCTTGAGAGGACACCCTGCCACCTATTTTCTAAGATAGCTGAGAAGGCATGCCCCACACCTGCTTTTCTCCCCTTCTCCTCCCTGCAGCAGCCCCTCCTCCCTCTGCAGTCCAGCCAACTGCAGTGTCAGCTGTACCCAAAACAGCAGGCTGAGTCTTGATTACCAGGGTCTCTCCAGGAGTTCTTAAGGTGACAGGCTCCTGGAATTGCTGTCCTTCCCAAACTCACTAAGGTATCAAGTCACCTGATTCTTAGGCGCAACCAAATCAAAGTTCATTAGAATTATTCACCAGAATTTAATTGATGAACTGTGGTTACCCTTCCTGGGAATGTCCATTTCTACCATTGTCCCCGATTTTTCTAATTTCTCTCCTCCATCTGGATTAGAGGACCTTCTTGTCTGAGGACCACAAGACCATAGATGGCTGATGGTATAAGAGACCCTAAAGATCATCAGATCCACCTATAATCTCTTTAGAGATACCCAGAGAAGGAATGTGACTGGCCGAAGGTCACACATCAAACTTGTGTCAGAACCAGGACAAAACCATAGGTCTTGAGAGTCAGCACTGCTGACTCCAGTCCTCCTGGTCCACTGTCTGAGCACTCCCATCCCCCACCCTGCAGATAGTACCAGCATTTGGCTAGGAATGTGAAACCATGCCAGTGATCTGGTGGCACCAATTGTCTGCAGTCTCAAGTGCAGAGCTTGAATTGCTTAAGTGGTGGGGAAGGAAGGGAAAGATTTGGAAGAAGCAGACTCAATAAAGGAACAATAAGAGAGATGGCATGAATCCAGGAAGGCTTCCTGGAGGAGGAAAGATGTAAACTCAAGGTTCGAAAGAAAGCAAACATGGATTAGTACAGAGAAATTGAGAGGCTGGGCCAGTAAGAGAAATGTTTGTCTGGGTTTATCTGAAAACTGGTTCAGTCCTAACACATTTGCTAGAGGGCTATTAAAAAAAAAGTACCCCCACTTCCAAATTCAAGCCAAATGCCTTGTTGTACAACTGAATGTCTACAACCTTTCAGTTCCCTCCAAGGTGAGGAATGAGATAGCCTGGGTCCCTTGGCCTTCTTGACCCCTCTCCTCCTCCGTGAACAAGGGGAGACTATTGAGAAAGTTTGAGTGTCATTTGAAATAGGGACAGAGCTGGGAGTTAGGATGAGAGATCCCTAACATTTCTGCAGAGCTCTGGACAAGCTTGCTTATCCAAGAAAGCAAGGCTGTGCCAGCTTTGTGCCTAGAGCTGAGTCCTGAGATGCCACGGCAGTGCCCCTTATCACAAAACAAACCAGGGGCCACCCTCACTGACCAAGACCACCTCCACTTCCTTGCCATACCCCCCCAGAAGTTCTTTACCACCCACATTCTCCTAGGAATGGAAGCTATTCACAACTGTCTCTTCTTCCCAAATTGAGCAGCAAACCCACCTTCAGAGCCGTGGAGATTGGTCCAGACCAGGATCTGGATGTCGTTGAAATCATAGAAAACAGCCAAGAGCTTCATGTGCAGAACTCAAGCGGGTAAGTTTGAGGGGCTATACTTTCTGGCCTATAAAAGACTAATGCTTAGAGCTGCTATTAGGGCTGCAGCCCAACTCACCCTTCAGCACACTGGCAGGAAGAGGAAAATAAGCCCGACAATAGGAAGAACTCCTAGTCAGGCAGATCATTAAGTACCAGGAGCTATAGAATCACATTTCTGAGAGTTTTTCTGATAGACAACTGTCCAATAAGGCTGAACGAAGTGTGCTGTCCTACCTGAAGACAGGAAGATGGATGAGGTGACCTTCCATCAGTCTGAATAGTAAAACCAAATGTTTTCTCCTAATTACACCAACAGGCAACTTTCCAAAGGCCATTGTGTCCTTCCTTGCCACTTACCAGGCCAGAATAAGGCCTTTCCACATTCCCAGCTCTCTAGGGAAAGAGATTCCATGGCCTTCTCAATGGCCTGCTCAGACGCCTCACCACCCAGCCTAGAGCCCAGCATCTAAACAGAATCTGCCACACTGCAGCAGCAGAGTGGAAGATGCTGGCTTCTTAGTATTCAGGAATGTTGCTAAGGGCTGCTTATTCATCAGAGTAAATCTTGAAAAGGACAGGGATGATCGCAGAATGATCGCAGAATGATTGAAATCCCATTATTTTTCCTATTGGAATGCCCTCAGTGTAGCAGACTCAACTTCAGGCTTTTTGTTCTTCCATCTCAGGTGGCCAGAAGCCTCAGTTAGGCTCTTTCACAGACTGAACTCAGAGCAGTGGAATTGTTAAGTTCAATCGAATTGAATTGCTTTGAACTGAGGGCTAATTCAGTTTCTATATAGCCCCTACTATGCAGGTTCCAGATTTCCCACGTGGCTGCAATAGTGGCAGAAGGCCCAAGTCCTTGCCTCCCAGTCAAAGGAGAAGCAGAAACAATAGGGGCCCTATGATTCTCTTCCAGATCCTGTATTTCGGGCTCCCTGGTTTCTTTGCAATGTCTTGGTGAGTACAGCCCCCATCTCTGAGGATTTGGGTTCTAAGGCAGCAATGAACAAGGAGAAAGGGCTCCACCCTCATTCTTGAGTCTCTCACAATCCAAGTCTCACTCTGTTTTGGTCCACTCTCACTGCTTTGGGTCTCAAACTTGTACGTTGACGATTCTTCAAGTAGTTAATACTAAGAACTCCTTCTTGCCATTAGCACCCAACCTAAGCAGACACCTGGAAGAAGATCTAGTATCCAGGTCTTCTTGGAGAGAAAGTTGGTTTCCTGGAAAAAGCAGGACTGACCTCCACCCCCTCATCAATCCTGATCAGGGCTCATATAGACCTCTTTTGTCACAATCGGTTCAGTCATCCAAGGTCAGATGATGCACATCCAATTTAGCAAAAAGTCACTGAAGAGTTAAAAATGTGTCAAACACAACCAGGTCCTATTGGAAATAAAAACACCAGACAAGTTAAAAGAATTGGTCACTGTCTCTAAGAAGCTTGGAGGCAACACAAGGCAGCGACTAAGCTGAGAGATAATCACAGTTGTCATGCTGTAAAAAGTGCTGGGCAGGGTCAAAGACCTAGGTATCAGCTCCATTGACTTCCAGTGTGACTTTGAGTTGTTGTTGTTGTTGTTAAGTGCCGTTGAGTCAGTTGCGACCCTGTCTAAGGTTTCCAAGGAGCAACTGGTGAGCTTGAACCAAAAACCCTGTGGTTCAAACCAACTGTGCAATCCAGTGCATTAACCCACAGTGTAGTTCACCTAAAACTCTCTTTAGTTCCTTTTCCAAAGAGGTTCATATTAGTTCACTGACCAATCAGAAGCTTGGGAAACCCTTTCAGCTCTAATGGAGGAGATCCAAAGAGGAAACCAGCACCAACACCATGGCCCAGATTCATCCTATCAGTCTTAGGAGAGAAGTAGAGCTGAGCCAGACCAAGAGGGGTGGACAAAACTGGACAAGTCTAAGTCCATCACCATTGCTTTTGCAGTGTAGCAGTAAGCATGCTTCCTCATTGGATGTTAAGATTCTTATCCATCACCATGGTCCTGATATTACCTAGTGGATGGAATCTGACACATGATAACCAGTCAGTGAATGAGTGGTCACATCATCTGACCTTCACTGAGCAGCACCAAAGGCACCAAGAAATAAAAGTCACAGACCCTCTGTTGAGGATCCTTCAGTCTCACTGACAGGCTCCTAAGACAGGACCTAAGAATGGCAACAATGAAAAGGGCAGGCTATGGGCATTCCAAGAGAAGAATGAATGGTTGGCTGGTCTGGAAGTAATTCGGCTAAACATTGACGAATGGATCTGTGAGTTTCAGAAGGGAAGGGACCATGTCTGTCTTTCTATCTTGTTCACCAGACCCTCACACTGTCCCTGAGACCAGTAGGTACTCCATGCAAATCTGATGAATTGATTAGTGATTTAGAGAAATAGGAGAAAAGACAGCATTTCAGGGTGGGAATGTCAGTCTCTTCTTGAGCAAAAACAGAACGACTCTTTAAAAAGCGGCAAGTAGTTCGACTTAAATAAACAGAGGTTTTTTATAAGGACTGTAAGAGGCTGCCAGAAGAAGAAGTTTAAACTCAACCCTACCAGCAACCTTACTTAGAGGCTTTAGTGAGAGAGTGATGGGACATGTAGAAAGCAGTACTTGAAATTAGATGGTTTGAAAAACCCCTACGCAGTTCAGTGCCAGGCTCACAAGGACAGAATTGGTGGCCTTTCCCCCTTAAGCATCTACTATAGAGATGACTACTAGAAAGTGGCAAAAAACAGGGGTGGGGAGATAGGGTTGTAAGTTTTTACAAATAGTCAAGGGTGGGATGGGCAAGCCAGGACAAGGAGAAGACAAGATGTCAGATTGGGAAGCTCATTCAGCACAGGGAAAGGACTTTGAAAAAGATAATGCCAAGGGATGAAAAGATCCGGTTTCAGAGGCTTTCTCCCCACTTCCAGGTCTCAAAGAAGCTTGTGGGCGTTTGTTGACTATTACTCAGCGGGAGCAGCTAGGGACACTCCACCTGGATGGATTCCCATAATTCTGTTTGAAGGTCATCAATTCCCAGCACAATAGACACACCGGCATTCACAAGCTGGACTAAACACATTCAAAGTCAGAAAAAGGAGAGGGAGATTTGAGGAGAAACTATGGTCTGAGATCATGTTTCCCCCAAGAATAATTCAACACTCTTGGATTCCACACAAGGGTCTTGCTCAGGATAAGCTTCAGGCTCTAAGGGGAAGCAATCCTGTCTCTGAAGAGTCTAACTTCCTGCTTTCTTCCTCCTTCCTATGGAGACCAGCCTGTGGGGAAAGCCTGAAGGCTCCTCGGGTGCTGGGCGGGGAGAAGGCCTCTGTGTATTCTTGGCCTTGGCAGGTCAGCATCCAGCACAATAGACATCACATCTGTGGAGGTAGCATCCTGGACTCTCACTGGATCCTCACAGCAGCTCACTGCTTCAGGTAAGAGAACCTTGGGGAATCAAACCATGGAACGGTTGGAGTAGCTGGGTCCTTGTCTCCTGAGATGTTATCTGATGGCCTCGTTCCCTCTCACTGTCCCCCTGGAAGCCTTGTGCTAAGTTAAGCCACCCCAATAAAGCACTAGACATGATATACTCTGTTAGGAACTGATGATCTGAGAACAGAGTGCTGGTCACCAAGTTTGACAGAGCTTTGCCTCTTGGGAAACCCAGTGTCTTATCCCCTTTCACTGCCCCTGGCACAACACACACAAAAGTTATTCCCATCTCCCTGGAGTCTCCAAGACTTTTAGTCAGACTTCTAAGAAGTGGTTCCAGCATCTCAAGTCACCATCACTTCCTTCTTATACCTAGAAACTTACACAAAAAATTACAAATTCCCTACAGACCAGCCAAGAGAGAATTTCCTATACTTCTGGGTAATTCCCTATACTTCCTAGACCTTCTTCATTTTCATTCATTCACTCAACATACACAGAGTAGTTATCAGGCAACAAACACCATATTTGATGCCCAAGTTCATTAGATTAATCACCATCTTCTAGAAGCTCACAGTGCAGGTCACTGTTTCTTAACTTTGTTTGATAAGCCAACAAAAACTATGAACCCTTTCCTGAAAAAAAAAAAAAAAAAATCACTCTTGCACACAAAGGTGCATCCACTGTCAAGAGAAAAACAGGAATGTTATGTAACGGACTACAAGTACCACTTGAATAATACAAACCATAAAAAGGAAGAGAGGAGAGAGTGCCAGAGGACCTATAAATTGGGCATTGAAACAGTCCCAGTTTTGTAGCTGAAAGTTTCCTGGGGTGGGTTTCACTGGGAAAGAAGGATCAAATTCCCTTTCAAACTTGGCTTGTGGTGGGTTTTCCTCAGACTTTCCCTATCACGTCCTGCACACCTCATAATGTCCCCTAAGTCAGGGACACTCAGCGCTGTAATCTGCAGGAGCTTGGGGGCCCAGCCTTTGGCATGCTTGGTGCAGACCTGAACTCAGCTATTCTCTGGTTCCAGGAAGCACCTTGATTTGTCCAGTTGGAAGGTGAGGGTTGGCTCGGACAAACTGAGCACCTTTCCAGCCTTACCTGTAGCTGAAATCTTCGTCATTGAGCTCAACACCACATATCCCAAAGAGAAGGACATTGCCCTCGTGAAGTTGCAGTTCCCTCTTACATTCTCAGGTAAGAACGGTACCTGGAAACAGAGTCCTGAGGTCAGTTTTTAATTCCGCTCTGCCACTAGCTTGCCACGTGGCCCACTTCTGCTTCTCAAGACTTCAGTTTGCCCATCTGTTTCCAGCTAACATATTAACTTAAGCTCACTGACTGCCATAGGCCTCCGAGAGCTTCTTTGAGGGTTTGTTTTTTTTCCATTTGGAGCACCTTGAATGAGAGGTATATAGATTCATCCAATCTTGAGTTGCAAGAGATCATCTAGTCCATCCCCTACCTTTAACCAGTACCCAAGAGTCTGCATAATATTTCATTGTGCTCCTATTTGTTCTCTCCAGGGGTAAGGAGCTCATTATTTCTGAAGGAGATCACAGAATCTTTTAACAATTCTGGTAGATGACTCATACTTATTTTGATTAGCATTTAGATCAGCATTTCCAATTATGAACGCTGGATGCTTGGGGGAAAGAGGGTTCCATTATCAAATAAATTTGGGAAGCACTTTCATACTATAGCTTTCCCCTTGGAGAGTCATGGGCACATTGATATAGTAAAGTGAAAAGTGTTTTAAAAATAATCTGTTTTATTGTATTTAGCCCACATTTGAAAAACTTATTTAACTACAGAACTCTTTTTTTTTTTTTTCATGACACTTCTATTAACATTCCATGGGACGAATGTTATAGAGACCCTGGAGTACATCTTTTCCAGAAGGCTTAGTTACTAGACTCTTCCAAACCCTGCCTCTCCCTCTTCCCTTCTACTCCTGGCAGATACAGTCAGGCCCATCTGCCTACCCTTCCCTGATGAGGATCTCAGTCCAGCCACCCCACTCTGGGTTATTGGATGGGGCTTTACAGAGCAAGATGGAGGTAAGTCTTGGGCTTAGAACCACGGAGCAGAAGATGCCCTTGGATGAGAGAGCAACTTCTGGAGGTGTTGTAAAAGAGAACCTTCCTTCAAAAAACAAAACAAAACCTCACCCTGAAGGTCCAAGAGCCAATTGAAGTACTTTAGCAACCAGAGAAATAACCTGGTCTGGGGTAGAAAACAGGAATGGGAATGTGAGTGTGTTCTCAATATCCCAGGAAAGATGTCTGATGCACTGCTGCAGGCATCGGTTCAGGTCATTGACAGCACACGGTGCAATGCTGAGGATGCATACCAGGGGGACGTTACTGAGAAGATGATGTGTGCAGGCATCCTGGAAGGCGGCGTGGACACTTGCCAGGTGGGTCCTCCCAGGGACATTGGGGAACTCTACAATTAGGGTTATAAGTCCTAGAGAGACAACAAAACCTTAAGGTTGAATATCACACATCAAGTCTTGCATGTAGTTGGGCACTCAATGTGTAATAATGGAAGAAAAGGAAGCAAGGGAGTTAAGGATATAAGAATAGATGGATGGATGGGTAGGTGAATAGATGATAAGGAAAAGCAGAGGGGATTTTTAAGGGACATTATTCACCCTATTCACCTGCTTCCCATCACTATGATTCCATTGAGGGAAAGAATTCCATGTCTACTTTCTCTGTGACTGTCCATAAGCTGCTGAATAACACTAGAGAAAACCCATCTCATGCTCACCAAGCTCTGGTGTAATGTCCTTCAGCCCATCCCCTTTGTACATCCTCACTCCCCTCCTCCAGGTTCTTCTAAGTACTTTCCATTCATCTTAAACCTCTAACCCTACTCCTGCCCACATTCCCATTTCTTCGGTCAAGAGGCCTCTGTTACTCAGCTCATATAGGCCACCGGGCTGGGTTTGGGGAATAGTGTCTGCCTTGGAGTTCACATTGGGTGTGTGGGTAGAAGCAATGGAGTATAAACAGTTGGTCCCAACATTATTGGGTTTTGAGTGAGGTAACCCCAACCCAAGGACAATGGGATTCAATAAGAAGGACATACATCTGACATGTTCTTACCTGTTTAGTTATTTGCTTATTTATTGCCTTTCTCTCCTCGTTTGATTCTAAGCTCCCTGAGTTTAGAGATCTTTGGTTTTTATGTTGATTGAATCTCAATTGCCTAGAACAGTGCCTAACACAAAGTAGCCATTCAACAAGTGGTTAAATATATTTGGGAAATGCTTACCTTTAAGTCTAAAATTGAAGATACTCAGGATTCCTTACTGCAGGACACCTTAGCCTTCAGCCCCCAAGGAAAAAAGTCATTGCCATCAAGTCCATTTTAACTCATTGTTGTCCTGTAAGATGGGCAAAATAGAGCTGCCCATAGGCTTTCCAAGGCTGTAAACCTGTACAGAAGTAGATTGCCACAGCTTTCTACCAGGGAGTAGCTGGTGAATTTGAACCACTAATCTTTCAGTTAGCAGCCAAGCTCTTAGCCACGGCGTTACCGGAACTACTTAGGACCTCATAGAGTCTTCAATTTGCTGTTATCTACTGTGAATCTCTCTGGTAGCGTAGCAGTTACAAATCAGGTGCTAACCTGAGGGTTAGCAGTTCGAAACTACCAGCTGTTCTGTGGGAGAAAGATGAGGCTTTCTGCTCCCATAAGGATTTGTAGCCTCGGAAACCCTGTACAGGGTCGCTATGAGTCGGAACCAACTCCACGGCACATAACAACAACAACAACTGTGAATCTCCAAGATAGGGCAAACAGCATTTCCACAACTTACTTGACCAGAGACAGGACCAAAAGGGAAGGGTACTTCAGTCTACCAGAACAGCATGAGCAAAAGTTCTGCTCCTGGGACATGTACAGCATAGATGGGCCAGGTCAGGGAGATGGGGAAGGAGAAGCCCGGTTCTCTACTTGTCCTCCCAGCAGTCCTTGTTCTGGCCTCTCACAGGGTGACAGTGGTGGGCCTCTGATGTACCAGTCCGACCAGTGGCAAGTGGTGGGCATCGTGAGCTGGGGTCATGGCTGTGGGGGCCCAAGCACTCCAGGAGTGTACACCAAGGTCACGTCCTATCTCAACTGGATCTATAACGTCCGGAAGGTGAGCATGACTTGCTTGACCCACTGTGTCCTCCTTCTACCCCTCTACCCTGAGGTACCAAACCATCCTTATGGTTCCATTGAAATGACTCTGAAACAACCTTATGCACACATATAATGTTCCCTCCCAGCAAGCGACAGCCCAAGATTTTACCTTTCAGTCTAAAATTCCCTAAGTTAGAGATTTCTGTTAACTGCAAATACCTTAGAGTATGGAACTCATTGAGCTGACAATGTATCAGATTTGTTGTGGAGAGCAGGTCCTGAGAAGGTATACAGTAGAAAGGCGAGACTTCCAAGTCCTTAGAGAGTACAGAAAAGAGCAAACAAATGCCGAAAAAGAAGACTAATTTAGCCATGTCACCCCATTTCCAAGACTCTCCAGTCTCAGATCATCTGACTTTCTCTTTGTCGGTCTTTTTCATTCCAGGCTGAGCTATAACGCTGTTTCTCTGCAGTGCTGGGAGCTGTCTCCTTCCTGCCCTTGCCCTGCCTACCTGGGGATCCCACAGAAGTCAGACACAGAGCAAGAGCCCCCTTGGGCATTCTTCTCCAACCACACCCCCAGCATTTCTCTGAGCACCAAAGGGTCTTCATTCCTGTAAGACATTCTCTTGCCCACAGACACTGAAAGGAAGTCAGCAGCCTCAGCTCAGTCACCCCTGATCCTCCCAGCAGCCCAGGGAAAGTCACAGCCCACAAAATGAGCCCATCAAGATCTCAGAAGGTATGGCTAAACTGAGAAAGAACTTGCCTACTATGCTGAATTGAGGTAGACTCTCTTGTGAGCACCCAGATTGCTAGAGAGAAAAGGTTTGAGCCACCATCCCTCTCCTCCTCCACCAATGCCCAAGGCCACCAGCCTAAGAAACCAATGGTAATGTACAAAAAAAGATACTATTCTGCTGGTGGCATGACTACTATTACTTACTGTTGTTATTATTGTTACTTTTATGGCGGCTATTATTAAACATGACATCTTTGGCATGAAATGGTTGGGCTACTTAATAAGAACAGAATAGAACTACTGAACCAAGACTGAGTAGAAGAAGGTCCTGGGAAGGCAGCTGCTCCTCACATTGAAGCTGGGGGGAGAAGGAACATGGAGAGCAGAGTTGATGAGTGGGGGTAACTGTGAGCTGTAGACTGGGGAAGCCCGAGTGAAGGAGTCTCATTCCCACACAGAGCTTTCTCCTGACTCCCTCCAGCTCTCCTTCCTTGCCTATGATACCAGCCGTGAGTCAGAGATAACGTGATTTGGGAGGGAAATTATTTGGTCATTCTAGGGTGGAACACTGGTGGCTTCATGTTTAAGCTCTCTGCTGCTAGCCAAAAAGTAAGTGGTTCTAGTTCACCAGGTGCTTTAAGGAGAAAGATACAGCAGTCAGCTTCCTTAAAAACTTACAGGCTTGGAAGCCATATAGGGCAATCTACTCTGTTTTATAAGATCTCTCTGAGTTAGAATGAACTCAACAGCAACTGGGTCTAGGGTGACATTAATTTTACATCTCCCCAGTGGTTGGAAAGAGATATTGCACCTCTGACTCATCACTTCTTCCACCTAGAGAGCACTTCATGAGGTTTGTCAGGCAAAAAAAAATGTATTATCACCTAGCAGAACCCCAACAGAGTTCTGGGAATATAAGCATGAATACATTCCTGCACTCAAAAAGGTCAGAGTTCAACCCTGTTGACATCTGCTGGCAGCCATATGGAAGCCTAATATTCTGAGGACCTTCTCAGATTTGAGTTAGACCCTAGATAAGATATATTTGTCAATGCCTTACTAGGTTTTTAGGAAATAATATAAATTTTCAGAGGCAAAAAAAAATTATATATATATTAAAATTAAACCATCAGAACCATAGACTGAAATTAAGGCAGAGATCTAGTACCAATACGCTAGCTAAAATTGGGGGCTGCCATGTTATTTTCAGGTGCCATCGAGTCAGCTCCAACTCATAGCAGAGCTATACACAACAAAACTAAACACTGCCCAGTCAGGCACCAACCTCACAATCATTGTGCCACTGTGCCAATCCATCTGCTTGGGGTCTTCCTCTTTTTTGCTGATCCTCCACTTTACCAAGCATGATGTCCTTCTTCACGGACTGATCCCTCCTGATAATATATCCAAAGAATGAGTATGAAGTCTAGCCATCCTGGCTTCTAAGGAGCAGTCTGGTTATATTTCTTTCAAAACAGATCTGTTTGCTCTTCTGGCAGTCCATGATACTTTTAATATTCTACTCCAACACCATAACTCAATGCATCAATTCTTCTACAGTCTTCCTTATTCATTGTCCAACTTTCACATGAGTATGAGGATATTGAAAATACGATGGCTTGGGCCAGGCACACCTTAGTCCTCAAACTGAGATCTTTGCTCTTGAGAACTTTAAAGAGGTTTTGTACAGCACCTTTGCCTAATGCAGTACGTTGTTTGATTTCTTGATTGCTGCTTCCATTAGTGTTGACAGTTGACCCAAGCAAAATAAAGTCTATTACAACTTCAATCTTTTTTCTTCATTTATCAAAATGTTACTTACTAGTCCAATTGTGAGGATTTTGTTTTCTTTACATTGAAATGCAACCCATACTGTAGGTTGTGATCTTTGATCTTCATCAGTATTTTAAATCCTCTTCACATTCAGCAAGTAAGATTATGTCATCTGCATATTGCAGGTTGTTGATGACTCTTCCTCCAATCCTGATGGCATGCTCTTGTTCATATAATTTAGTTTGTTAGATTATGTGCTCTGCATACAAATTGAATAAGTGTGGTAAAAGAATACAACCCTGACATACATCTTTCCTGATTTTAAACCATTCAGTGTTCCCTCGATCTATTTGAACAATGGCCTCTTGGTAGAGATTTCTCATGAGTATAATTAAGTGTTACAGAATAATAATATTATCCATAGCTTGTCATGACCCACACAGTGGAAAACCTTTACATAGTCAATAAAGCACAGATAAACATCTTTCTGGTATTCTCTGCTTTTAGCCAAGATCCATCTGACTTCAGAAATGATATCCCTCATTCCACATCCTCTTCTAAATCTGGCTTGAGCTTCTGGCAATTCCCTGTCAATATACTTTTGCAGTTTTAGAATTATCTTCAGCAAAATTTTATTGTGTATTATATTGATGATATCGTTCAATGATTGGGTTCCCTCTCTTTGAAATTAGCACAAATATGCAATAAGTTGACCAGAACTTCAAATTTTCTCAGCATTGACAAGTGAGTGCCTCCAGTGCTGCTTCAGTATGTTGAAAGATTGTAATTTGTATTCTGTCAATTCACAAAGCCTTGTTCTTTGCCAATGTCTTCAGTGCACCTTGGACTTCTCTTTCAGTACCACTGGCTTTTGATCATAAGCTACCTCTTGAAATGGTTGAAAACATCTTTTTGATGTTTTCTGCATCATTCAATATTTGCCCATAGAATTCTTCAATACTGCAAGTCAAGGCTTGAGCATTTTCTTCAGAAAAATGCTAAGAGTTTTCTTCTTGTGGTTTTCTGCTTCCAGATCTTTACACATTTCATTATATCACTTGACTTTGTCTTCTCTAGCTGCCATTTGAAATTTTCTACTTAACTCTTTTACCTCCTCATTTCTTCCATTTGCTTTAGCATCTCTATGCTAGAGAGTAAGTTTCAGAGTCTCTTCTGATATCCATTTTGGTCTTTTCCTTCTTTCTTGGCTTCTTAATGACCTTTTGCTTTCTTCCTGTGTGATATTCGTGATGTCATTCCACAACTCTTCTGTCATTAGTGTTTAATGTTTGAAATCTGTTCTTGAAATGGTCTCTAAGTTCAGGTGGAATATGTTTAAAGTTATATTTTGGCTCTCATGGATTTGCTTTAATTTTCTTTGACTTCAACCTAAACTTGCATATGTGCAATTAATGATCTGTTCCACAGTTGGCCCGGGCCTGGTTTTAGTTGATGATATTGAGCTTTTCCATCATCTCTTCCTGCAGATGTAGTCATTTTGATTTCTGTACATTCTATCTGGTAAAGTCCATGTGTGAATTCTATCATGTGATTTCCAGCAACATTTCTATCACCAATGCCATATTTTCCAACTACTGACCCTTGCTGCTTGTTTCAAACCTTCACATTCCAATTACCAGTAATTATTGACTCCATGTATGATCAATTTCACACTGAAGAAGTTGGTAGAATTCTTCAATTTCATCATCATGGGCTGTAGTGGTTGGTGTGTAAATTTGAATAATAGTGGTATTAACTGATCTTCCTTGTAGGCGTATTGATATTATCCTATTACAGACAGCATTGTACTTCAAGATAGATCTTGAAATGTTCTTTTTGATGATGAATGACACTATTCCTCTTTAATCAGTCATTCCTGGCATGTAAACCATACGATCATCAGATTCAAAATGGCCAATTTCAGCTCACTAATACCTAGGATATTGATCTTTATGCGTTCCATTTCATTTCTGACAATTTCCAATATTCCTACATTTATGCCACCCTAGGGAAAACGATTATAAGGACGGCACAGGACCAGGTAGTGTTTCATTTTGCATAGGGTCAACATGAGTTTGAACCAACTGAATAAAACTAACAACAACAACTAGGAACAAAGAGCTTAAGAAGACTGAAATCAACCCAGTGCAGGTGGGGCAGAGGAAATGAACCTTGGACTCTCAAACGAAACACTGACAAATGAAGAGGGTAAATGTGGTCACAGGTGGCATGTCCTATGAAAGAAAATGTACTCAATTTTGATTCCTCAGGATTCCCAGACAAAAATCCTCCAAATATAAGATCAACAGGGATATTGAAAAAAAATTTTTTTTTTATTATTTGGAATCATCAGAAATAACAAGTTGAGAATTCCAAGAACTTTAGGCATTGGAATTATCAGATAATTATAATTGCTAGTTGCTGTTAGGTACTATCGAGTTGATTCTGACTTATAGCAGCACACTCCATGTGTAACAGAACTAAACATTGGCTGATCCTATTCCATCCTCACAGTCATTGTTATGTTTGAGCCCATGGTTGCAGCCACTGTGTCAATCCATCTCTTTGAGGATTTTCATCTTTTGGTTGATTCTCTACTTTACCAAGCAGATGTCCTCCAGGGATTAGTCCCTCCTGATAACATGCCTAAAGTACATAAGATGAAGTCTCACCATCCTCTCTTCTAAGAAGTATTCTGGCTGTTCTTCTTCCAAGACAGATTTGTTCATTCTTCTGGCAGGCCACAGTATGTTTTTCTTCACCAACATATAATTCAAAGGCATCAATTCTTCTTCAGTCTTCCTTATTCATTGTCCAGTCTTTGCATGCATATGAAGTCATTAAAAATACCATGGCTTATATCAGGCATGCCTTTGTCTTCAAACTGACATCTTTGCTTTTTAACATTTTAAGGAGAACTTTGCAGCAGATTTGACCAATGC